GTCAGCATAACTTGGCATAACGTGGGCAGAAGATGTGCTTATGCCTGATGCATTCATTCCGAGACTTAGCGCCGCGGCATTGGAAAGGGGTGACATGGAGAGGCCCACAAGTATATAGAGGCGCAGGGCAATTTGTGGAGACTCGGATACAGCAAGCTCCGTGAGGTTGTCAAATCGGGAACTTCAAACAAAGTTCGAGAAGGTAATAATTTTATCACATTCGTACTGTGTGTGATAGTTGGGCTTAGTACAATAAACGAGGACTTCGGAGAGAATCAGACGACAACTTCAGTCGGGAATGTCGTACGAACTATATAACGTTCAGATGTCTTGAGTTTATATATCCAAAAATATAATAGGCTTCAGCGTTTAGGATTAGGTTTGGAAATCCCCTGAAAATGGTGATATATAAGTGTCCATTACTGTGTGCAGGCCCTGTTAAATTTGGTTTCTAATAGGTTTAGACAACACGCTCAACGACACAATGGTTGAAGTCAAGTATATGGGAGAATATGACTACATACCGTCAATACCAGCTGCCGTGATATTCATTGGCCTATTTGGGATCTTAACCCTCCTGCATTGTTGGCAAGTGTTCCGTGGTCGGACTTGGTTCTTCCTTCCTTTTATATTCGGAGGAATATGTGAGTACCAGCCCAATGAACCCTTTCTTCGGGCCTTTTCCAGTTCTTTTTTAACACAGGTTTTCTGCAGTTGAGATTGTTGGATATATAGCTGTAAGCCAATCTCGATACTCGATCAAGCGAAAGAGGGAATATGCTCACAGCTCTAGCGTCTCGTTTCTTCCAAGCAATACCCGAATTATACCATTCCCCCTCTTGCCATACAAGCCATTTTTATCCTCGTCGCGCCGTCACTGCTCGCTGCAAGTATTTATATGGAACTTGGCCGGATCATGATTGTCACTGGTGGAGAACACTTGTCACCAATCCGACGTTCGTGGTTGACGAAGATCTTTGTGGTTGGAGACGTGATATCATTTCTTGTTCAGGCAGGAGGTAAGACGTCCCCCGACGTATGTGCGAATCTTGCATCTCCCGATTAACTAACGATATATTCCAACAATGCAGGAGCCGGGATGCTCGTCAAAGCCAGCACAGCAGAAAAAGGCGGAAATGTAATCAAAGTCGGGTTGATTATCCAAATTATCTTTTTCGGCCTCTTCATAATCACCAGCATCATTTTCCACGTCAAGCTTGTGAAAAACCGGTCAAGAGTGCTACAACAGCACGAAGTCCCCTGGAAAAGGCACCAGACCGTGTTATACATCGGCAGTCTGCTGATTTTCGTCCGTTCCATCTTCCGGTACATCGAGTACAACCAGGGAAGTAGCGGGACATTGCTCCAGCATGAATTCTGGAGTTATATTTTCGATGCCGCTCTTATGGTGCTGGTAATGGCCGCGTTTAACGTGGTGCATCCGGCCGAGATTAGCAGGTTGATGGAAGGGAGGAAAGGCGGATATGGGACAGAGCTGATTGGATGATTGAGACGACTGCCGGGAAATCCCCGGGGATATTCAATCAGACTGACTCAACCTGTACCGAAGTGATGTAAATTATAATCTTGATAGACCGAGCCAGAGTCCATACAAATGTGAGGTCTTAGTCCCGAAGTCTGTCCGACATTCTCTGTTCGTTTTGCTACAGTTCTCTTTCCAACTTGAATTCAGATTCCAAACCGCAGGTCTCTCGTATAGCTCTACATGTACGGGATTTGGTCTAGGCTCGAAGGTCCGAATGGTCCGGCGCAGGGACAGAGGCCGAAACAGTACCAAGTCGCGAGTCGTATCCCCTAACACGAAGAGCTGTTGTGCTAGACAAGGGAAAAAGGGTAAGAGCTATTCCGGCTATGCGTTCCTAACTCTCTGAGATTTTTCTAGCAAAGTGCTTTTATTAGCTTAACGAATGTTCCACTCTGGGGGTCCAGGGTCCACTGGTACCTATCCTGTACATGCTACAAGCCTGACAGGTAGTGAATATGTCAAAGCTAAGACCCCGCCGGATTTAATATTTGCCAGGTACAAAGTTCAAGAACAAACAACCGGGTCAAATAGAATTTCGGTTACTGTCGCTTCATAGGAAGATTTCGGGCCAAATGTAGTTATGGTTTATGGTTTACTACATCGGCTATGCAAGGTGCTATGGCTACAAGCGGCAGGGAAAAGTAGTAGCGAAGCAAAGGAAGTTGTAATAACAAGAAGCGAATAATAGACGGAAGAAAAAGGCAAAAGACAAAGGTAGGTCTCAGACCGTTCGCGTTCTTCCTTAGTTTCTATACATGTGCCAAAGGACCAATCCAAATCCAAACCCTAGACAACGTGCACTGATCAAATCGTTAAAGCAGGGCAAAATCTTGTGCCCTTTTTAACCGGACCAGCGCCAGCAGAGCAGATCAAAAAGCAGTCCGAGGCCAAACGCTTGATAACACCCGAATAGCAAGGTAACATTGTCGCGCACATCATTTCGTATCATTTCAATTCGTAATCTCATTTGCAATCCACAGTTCTCGGTTCATGTCACAGTGCCCCGGGCACGAAACACAGGCTCAAACCCGATAGTCGAGTCGTGAATCCGTAAAATAAAATCTTTTGCAATTTTTTGGTTTTTTGTTTTTGCTCTCATTTTCACATGGCAAGAAATGTGTTCGGGTATTGCCCACCCAAGTCTGAATATGTGCCTGAGACATATAGTAGAGTGGAGTATAGTATGACTGAGCCATATCATTGCAGGCGGGGGTGTACGTGCTTAAGAGTGCCGGCGAGGTTGCGCGAGGATATTGCTCAACCGTTTCCAGCGCGGCGTCGGGGATGTCGAGTTCCTCCGAGACGGGGATTTTTCTGGTTTTGTTGATGTTTGTGTAGAGGAACGGGCTCGGTTGTTGATGGTTGCTTCATGGTCGGCGAGGACATCCTCGAGGCGGACGTCGGCGTCAGACATACGTCGAGAGTCCTTGGGATCAAGGATCTCGATGAACTTGGAGGGTGTATCACGCATTGTGTAGAGTATTTTTATTCTTTGCGCTGGTGGAGGAGGGAGAGGTATGATTTCGAATTCCAAAGTAGAGGGAAATCCAGAGGAGGTCACGAGGACGTATAGTTTTGTGTAGGTTCAAGCGCGAGATGAAACTGCAGACTGGAGAATTGAGTGTTTCAAGTTTTGAAGAGAATGGAGGATGAAGAACAGAGGAGAGTAAAGTAGAGAATAAAATAGAAAAGAAGGGAGTTTTTTTTATAAAAGAATGGTAACGGCGTCCGACAGCCAAAAAGGAAATGTGAATGTCTGTACCGAAGATCAGTGGGGTCGAACTATAAGATTTGTGGACTATCAGAGCGTGATTTCTTTGGGATATTTGGGATGTTTCATACTTATAGAAGTACACGTACAAGCTAGTACGTACTATCCATGTAGGCAACATTTCCACCCCACAAGCCAAGTGTATACAAGATACACATACTTCGATGCACAAGCCCGTTTGGGCAATGTCCGTTTGGGCTGCGGGGCGATGATCGGCAGCTACTTGGTGGCGTCCGAGTGACGATGAACCACGATGAACCATGATGGTTCGTAGATATATAAGAAGCATTTGATGCAAGGGGAGTCGAATTTGGTCTAGGGTATAAGAAGATCATATTCTCTCTTCTGTTCCCCTTCTACAGACAGGAACCCCTAGACTCTGGCCACGATAACCTTGTGCGCTATTCGTCTTATCTTAGCTTACTTTTTGTGGATGCCATCCATCAAGCGCCATGACGTCGATGGCATGAAATCTCCATCAGGGTTTCGATGCTCAAATACTGTAGATGGGTCGATGGGAGATCGTCTCCGGGTATGTATGATGTACATTGGTCAATATAATGCATGTGCGCCATGTGGTACGTCGTCTTCTATAAAAAGAACCGCCACAGCAATTAGCCACTCCAATCTGCCGCGCATCCGAATCTCTTCCAACAAATTCTCATATAATATGAGGCAAATGTGCCATACAACATAAGGAGGAGAGGAACGCGTCAAAAGGGACAAGGGTGTCAGTACGGAGTATACGTAGGTGGATTCGCCCCAATGGAGATTGCTCAGGGCTGTGCCCGGAATGTCAACCGGGCCGTCGAGCGGACTGTGCGGACTATTCGATACAGTTATCTCTACGAATGAATGGGATGTCCATCGGGGATGGAGACTATACTCAGTCCGCGAAATACGAATAAGAGCAGTACCTGGAGCTACTATTTTCTGTCGAGAAACCGATCGCCCCTGGCCATAGTGTCACTCCTTCAGTGCACCGGCGTACACGTACATTCGAAATGTGGCGATGCCTATTGTATTTAGTCTGTGGTCCCCCTTTTTCTCACCGGTGCCTCTGGGTGAACAGCAAGATGGGAGTAACCGGAGATGTTGTCGCCATAATACACCGTCATACTCGTTGATGGTCGAGCAGACTCGCCCAACAGAACACACACCCGAGTGTCCAACAAGCCTAGTAGACTCGGTAAGATCTGGTGTCAGGCGGGTGTAGCAGACCTGTGGCACACACCGAGTAGCCTACTCATTCAATGGAACAGTGAGTCCCACTGCGCCAAATACACTGCTCCAAAGCAGCGAAGCACACACTTTCCGATCAAGATGGTATGTTTCTCCGACCGAAGAAGTGTCCACGGATGCGAGGAAAGACAAATAGAGAAAGGAAGAAGAGAAAGAGATAGCTTTTGATCTGGAAAAAGAACAAATTAGGCAGTAACAACTGCGTAGAGTCAACATAACATAACGCTTATGTCGGGGTAAGTGAAGTGTGATAGTCTCATTCTACCAGGTTCCCGAGGTCAACTGTCATCAATAAAAAGTCCTTTTCCGTTCTTGAACGCCATAACTTCAGCTAAAAATGTATGTAGCGGATCACTCCCAGACACATAGGAACAACCATCACTCCCAGCACCCCTCATGTACCGCACTGCATCGCATCGCCATTCCAGGGTATGCGACAAATTATTTAAATTCCATGTCCGTCATCTCGATTGCGTTGGCCGAGCCCATCCAGAGAATGTTGTTGCATCTGTGGGAAAGAAAGAGAGTTAGCCAAGCTCGAATCGTAGGTATCCAGTCCGACGCTAAACCAATGGAAGCGCGCATCGCATACCTAATCAGAACCAAGCCCAATGCACCAGTCGGCTTGCCGTCGATAAACTCTTGTGTGTCGCGCAGCAGGACGTTCATGTATGAATCGATGCTCTCGAGAGTGCCCTTGTATTCGGTCTGGCCCCACTTGAGGCGGATGAGGACTTCGGTGCCCACGCTGTAGAGATATGTAGGTTAGCAAGGTGTCTTAATAGCAACAATGCATATGTGCGAATATCTCGAAAGGTATGCTGCTTGGGCTGCTTGGACTAGGGTGGGGTGAGTCGCATACCGAGCCTGGAGGAAGGGACGGGGGTTAAGCGGTTGGAACTGTAAAATAGCAGGTTAGCAATTGAACACATGGGAATAGCGCGCGGGATCTTGAGCTTGAAAGCGGGCAGAGCTTGAGGGGGGAAAGACGGACACTCATTGTGACTCGAGAAGAGTTCCTGGCTGGTTGAGATGGAGTAGTATTCAGGATATGATGATAGCAAAGTCCCAATCAAGATCTATTGCTTCGTTGGTTGATCGTGCTTGTCGTGTTGTTAACTGCGTTGACATCGGGGTCGGCGAGATCGCGAAAATGTGCCCAGGTAAGCTGAACAAGGCGGTGATAGATGGCCAATTACCGCCCTTGTCTCTTCACCGCCCTCTGCATAAAAGTGCTTGGATTGACAATCGACATGATGATTTTTACAGCTTTAGGTGAATACCCTGCATTAACTCCTTAGAGCTACGTGAAAGGAATGAAATTCATGTTATGGCTCGTTTTCTCATCATTGGTGTATCTCTCATTTTCAGCATGCTCCGCGCCCCTGTTCCCATCACAGCCTCCAAGACTAAGCTCCCACAGACACCAGTAATAATACAATGGAAAAAAAAAGAATCAGCGTTCATCAAAAGTTCGTAGATGTCGGCCCCTGGAAATCTCATCGCGAAGTAGATCTCCGCTTAGCGGCCAACGGTCCAGGTGATTTCCTTGATGCTGACTTCCTCACCCTTCTTCTCGTCGTAGTCATACCACTCACCCTCCATAAGGTCAATGCCGGAGAAAGTAGTAGTGGACTCGATAGCCTTGGCTTCCCATTCACCCTGGATTATCTTCGTCAGCACATGAAACTACCTATGTGAATTCTGGTGAATTCGGGATTTACTCACGTCGGGCTTGAACTCAATGAACTCGAGGCCACGGCAATCGATTTCGAGGATCTTCTGGGCCTTTTGCTTTTCCTGGACCTCATAGGGCTTAGGTCCGCTAATGACGGAGGCAGTGTGGGTTTTCTATGTGGCTGTTAGCTGTGTGATCATGGAAAAGCCGAGAAGACCAAATGATTCATGTCAACGAAGCGGAGTGGAACTGAGATTGATGAGTATCGCAAGAAAGAGGGAAAGAAACCCTTTCCGGCTATTGGGTTGGAAGAAATAGCTCGCTTACCGTGCAAAGTCGGCACTTCCACACAAAATTAGCCTCGCCGCGGCTACCAGGGATCTCGTGTTCCTCCTATACATCAATCCAGTTAGTAAACCATTCAATCGTGGCGAAATGGAGAGCAGGATGTAATTAATCCACGTACGAAACGGTTGAAGCTGACCCAGTTAGGGTGCGTCTCGTGGCAGGAGGTACATTGCACTCGGAAAGTGTAGAAGTAGGGATTTTCCTCGGTGTCGGTGGGCTGAAGGGCAGTGACGCTGTATCATCATATCAGCTTTTTGACTCTTTGATAACGATGTCTGAAAGGATCTGCCCGCGCGACGTTCCTGGAATTGGAGTGCAGTGCGGGGAGATCCAGGCACCTGAAAAGGCTCAATAATCCAGCACGTAAGGAAGGAGCACTTACCCCTCCATCTGAGCTTCGACTGAAAGAGTGAGCATTTTTGGCTTGCGAAGTAAAGTTGATCTTGAGGTGTGATGGCTGAAGTCAAGATCCTCTCTGTAGGTGATGCGGGGTGGAGATGGAAAATACTTTAACGTAGATCGAGGGCTTGGCATGTGACCACTCTGTAATGATTGAGCTTATCAAGACTAAAAATATGATAGAAGTGTTAAGAGGAACTTGGATATTTGAATTGAGATGATATTCATAGAAATTGGAAAATAAACGCCAGTCATGCTCAAGCTATCGCTCGCAACGAACGAAACAAAAAAGCTATATACATCTCGAAGGTAAGATACAGACTCATAAACACGTCAAAATTCTCACAAACGGCTCTGTTGAGAATCTTGGCCAAGAGGCTTCGTTGAGAACGCATTGAAGAACTCGTTGAGAGCGTCAACAGTGCCACTTCCCTCAACCAGCTGCACGGTGCAAGCAACGTGGCTGTCAGGACGGGTGACGACAACACCACCCTTCTCAGCATCAAAGCCGAGCTTCTCGTGGGCTGCAAATTGAGCCTGAGGAACGCGTACATCGGGGATATCATCGACATAGATGTGGTGGTGGTAGTCACGTAGGACCTGGGGGATGGAGTCCATATCGATGTTGTTCTTGGAGCCTGCATAGATCACAGAGAGGGTGAAGAGCTTGGAGTGAGGGTTATGGCGCTCGAAGAATGACACATCGGTAATATCAGACCGGCGATACACCGAAAGGAACGAGCGTTCTTTCTCTAGGTTGGCTGCCAGGTCGGCAATGGCCTTCTTAGTCTTGAACTGATTGCCAGCGAAGATGAAGATGCGGAATGCACCGTTAGCGGGCACTTCCTGCTCAAGCTCGACAAAGTTGGAATCGGCAAGACGGGTGACAGTGGTCGGGGTGAAAGCGCGACCCGGAGTCAGATGAACACCGGGAATCTTGAACAGAGGGGACTTGGCAGGGTGGCTCACGTCCCAGGTGAAAATATTGGGCTGGTAGGCCACTCCGTATCCACTGGTGAACTCGCAAGATGACTTGAAGGTCTTGACGAATTCGTCCTCCTCCCCACCAGCACCCACAGTGGTGTGGCTGGCAGAACCGACCTCGCCGGCAGAAGGACGGCGCTTGGAGAATAGGGCTGCGTACTTGGAATCGAAGTTCAACAACGTCTCAGCGATATCCTTGCGTTCGCTCTCGTAGGTGCTGAGAATGGAACGGTTGGCAAAACCACTCTCCACGGCGTGGATCTTCCAGGCCATGTTGAGTGCGTCATGGAAAGCAGTGTTCATTCCCTGGCCGGCCTTGGGCTTCAGGGGCGTTAGCGATATTGTGAGAGCAACAGGGGTTTTAACGGGGAGTACCAACGCTGTGAGTATGGCAAGCATCGCCACCCATGAAGACTCGCTCGTCAAGGGTATACTTTTCAGCAATACCTTGTCCAATGGGGTAGACAGAGTACCACTCAACCCGGTCCCACTCAATCCAGTATGGCTTCAGAATGTTCTTCGCAGTCTGCTGGACCTCCTCGACAGTGGCAGTCTTTCGGGGGTTCCAATCGGCGTCGGTGGAGGAGGCGATCTGGACATAAAGGCGGACCATATTGTCCTCGCGGGGAATGACCATGATTGAGCCAGCGTCGGAGTGGATGGTGCATTTTGTCTGTATACTAACGCATTAGAAACATAGAAATACGTGAGATTGGTTATTGTTAGGCATGCCCACCTCAATGTCAGGGAAGTTGGTGCGCACGACACCGTCCATGACACCCCAAACATAGGCAATGGGATCCTTGTGGTGGATCTTGATGCCCAGCTGCTCACGGACAAAGCTGCGGGCACCCTCGCCACTAAACAAGTACTTGGCGCGCACATTCTCGATAACATTCGTATCCAAGCACTTCAGGTTGACTTCAACAGGGTAATCAGCGTTCGCACCATCGTTCTTGAAGCCAACAATGGTCCATGGCCGCTCGACAGTTGTGCCAGCCTTCTTGATTTCATCCAAGAACACGCGCTCGATCTTGCCCTGGTGGACCAGGGTGGTGAAAGGATAGCGGGTGTCAATAAAGCGGGGGCAACTAGGCCAGCTGCCAGTACGGCCGATGCCAGAGCCGTCAGCTTTGGGATCCCAGAAGGCAACGTCGTACACCTTGGCAGGCTCGTAAGCCATGATCGAGCGCTTCAAGCCAAGGTTGCGCAGGATCTCGGTAGATCGCGGCTGAATACCGTCAGCGCGACCAGTAGCGGTCGGCACTGGGCGGTTGTCGATATGCTTCACCTTGTAGCCCCATCGTGACATACAGAGGGACAAGAGCAGACCGACGGGGCCGGCGCCCACAATGACAATGTCATAATTCTCTTGTTGGACCATACTGGCGGCCAAAAGCAAACACGGGGATTGGATGGGGGCAGTTATAAATTGGATGGCGCACGGCTATGGGATCAGCGTAAATAAGTACCTATGATTTGAAAGAAAAGCAGAGTCGCTCAGAGGTTCACCCTGCACAATGACTGAAGGAGAATGAATGAGGGCCATGGCTATCCCTATATACTGTCCGGGAACTGGCGTAAGTGGGCAAATTGGGTGTTCAGCTGAAGTAACGGAGAACATCCACGGCATTGAGAGTCGGCGAAATCGTGGGGAGCACCGGCTCAAGGGTCAGGGTAGCCAATCAAGTTCACCAGAAACGGAGTTATGGGCGATTTGTCAGAATCGCAGAAACAAGCGCCCTGTGGGGACAGGCCTAGCTTTCCACAATGTCCATGATACCGTCGTTGATCCCGAGCTGGTAGCCGCAGGGCTCCAGTGTGACTGGATTGCTGCGTTTTCCCTCTACTCCACCCGGAAACGATCTCGGTAAGCGGACGGCTGGGCACGTGACCCTCCCCTCGGCAACCATCTATATCTCTGAACAACTGCTATGATGGTAGTTTAACCTGGTACTTACACCACAGATAACCCGAAATTATATGCCATGCTCTAGATGAAATACCCATGAGGTCTGGCACCTACTCTAATGTTGTTCCCTCGGTCTGTTTCCATGCCACTCCTCTTTCAAAAAGGAAACCTACATTCATGGATGGTCATAACAACAGCACTAGATGGCTCAATTCTTATTCTACAATAATACCACCGTCATGGTTGAATGGTCGTTATTTTCTTAGTTCAAGCGACCAGGTTTCCGACTTTAATCTTGAAGGAAATATGTCGGATTAACCGTATCCGTAAAATATATGGTCCAATGAATGGGTGTCAATCAGTCTGTATTTCTGAAATGGCTCAGCTGGCAATTTATGGAGCCTGATTACATAAACTAAAATAAACAATACACATTGTTAGGATTAATAGATCCTCCGGTATCCTCCGGTATGCTGACTTGCATACTCCGACAAAATATTAATGCCTAAGGCAACAACGACAAAAATAGATTAAGTTGGGTAAAAGTTGTACCGCTCCGAACTATATCTATGAACTACATGTGTAGAGGAAAAAGAACATATTAGGACTGAATACATATATGTATTTGTGAGCTATGTATAATAAGTGGCACTAGACAATTAAATCTACCTTACTATCC